CCCATTGCTATTCCACCTGTCGTGCTCTCCCTCGTCTTGTTGCTTCGGCTCAATCTCAAGCAGCCCTTTGTCACCATCATCATATATATTAATGGCAACAGATTCATCGTCATCATCATTATCTCATCTCCTCCTACATCTACCTCTATATCTCCTTGTACATTTCCTGCCCGAACTCCTCAAATAACCTCTTACTCATCAACTTCCACCAACTAATCCTTTGCTTGAACTTCCATAAATACAAGATCTAGATTGATTGGTTCATAGTCTACAACTTCCCTCCTTAGTTGCTGCTTCTGGAGAAAATAGGACCTCATGCATGAAATGCTCAGTAAATTGTCCCACTTCAGTGACCTCATACATGAAATGCTCACTAAGCTCATATGTAGTGGAGGAGGGCTTGACTCTGGGCCCTGCCCTGCATTAGTAATAGTAAGATCAACTGCACGTAGTATCGCTAGTGATTGCGTTGAAGGGGATCATAACACTGCAAAATCACTTTGCTATAGCCTCAAGCATGCACTTTCTTATTATTTTGTTGAAGTTCATCTTGATGATCATGTTCTGATGTGAATACCTATAAAGGTATATGTCAATTGGACCTTAAGATAGGTGTGAGGGTTGGTGGATTGAGTGGGCAAAGGAGGTCCACCCTGACCCCTGTGATGCTTAACCTCCTTACAACCTCAAGTTTGGCCTCAAAATCCTCTTCCTCTTTCCACCCTCCCCTTGAATGGCTGCATAGAATGGTTTCTCAATCTCCTCAACCGTCTATTTCCTAATGTTTTTGTCCTTATTGGATTTAATAGGTGCCAAAATTTGTTCCTTCACAGTTTGTGGCACCTTAGGACATGCTATAGCCTCACTCACCCTCGACTCCTAAAAAATTGATGAAAAATAAAGAAAAAAGAGGTGTAATAATGATATCAGAAAAAAATACCATAGAGAAAAATAGAAAAATATAAAATGCAATATAAATAAACTTGGAAAATAACAAAACCTCCTTAAAACTGTGAAAATTTTGTGAAGAATAAGAATGAACAAGGTAACTAATAATGATAAAAAAAAAACTATAATTAGAAAAATCCATGCTGAAATAGAAAAATATTTTCTCAATTTTACATAGGATAAAAACGTATTTTTTAAAATAAAAGTTGAAATCGAATGGAAATGCATGACCTAGCTATTGATCAGCAAATAACAACTAGGTCTGGCTAAAATAAGGTCTACATTCATCTGAATCTACATTATTTTGAAAAAATTGAGACACTCGAAAAATTTTTTTTTTAAAAAATAACAAAAATGAACTATACACAAAGCAAAGGTGGAATGAGCAGATTGAATCTAAGACTGATATGAGTGAAATACTTAACGATCTATTGGACTAAAATCTCAAATTTGAGAGATCAGGGTGGAAATATGTCAAACCCCAATTTCTGGATTTTTCATTTTTAAAAAATGTGGTTTTTTTTTTTTATTATTCAAAAGAGAAAAAAATAGCTTATGATCTTGTAGGTCTTAGAAAAACGAGTACATCTTATAAATTTGGAGCTGAAATGGTCCAAAATAAGCTAATGGTTGATAAAAAGGTGATTCTTCAACCTTTTTGTAGTAAAAGGGCCACATGTTGGACTAGGGCAAATTTTCAGAAATTCATTAAAACTCAGGAATGGTAGAGTCCAATATTGAAGTCGCCCAGTTCACTACATTGAAGTTACGATTTAGGATGAATTGGGGTGAGCCTCATGTTCCTGAGCGGCTTATTTGGTTAGCGCTTGACGATTTGCAACGCTATGTCCTAAGCTCAATTCTTACCAAAATAATTTCATGGCTTAGTTTTTATCACCGCCCATCTTCAGACTACATTAAACGGCGGTAAACCCATTGGTCATGATTCACATTACTGTATGTAGCATGCTATATTTTCCTTTTCCTTTAAAAAACTCTGTTGCATCGAAAAAACTGTTATTACATGTACTCAGAGCTTGTAGGCATGACACTGGGCATAAGGGAGCTTGTAGATGATTGCACAGGAAGCTGGCATATGTTTCCCACGACACCTAAAGAATCCATGTAAAAGTCCATGTCAGGTAAAGAGGCATTAGGTTGGAGCATGGCCAAAGCCATAGCAGACACTGTGTCTGCAAGACATTGTTCAACCAAAAAAATAAAATTGGACAACACCTGAAGGAAATTCATAACTTTATGTCTCAGCATATTTTAAGGATCAGGAATTCGAATAACCGAATAGAAACATCAAGCTTCAACATAAGCAAACTTAAGGGACTTAGAAGATATACATAAGCAGGGTTTGAAATATTGAAGTGGGGGACATTCTTTCTAGCCGGTTAACCACATGATCATGGTGAGTTTTTGATATTTAAATTTTTGTTTTCACATCTAAGAGGGTCTTAGAGACTGAACATAAAAAACACTTGTTCAAACTAGCACTGGTTGGGTGGGTTTTTTTAGGGGTAGGTGCCACGGGCCGGTTGGTTTTTTTGGTTTTTTTTTGGGGCGAATCAGATTCTAAGAAACATTGGCACTAACTAATTCCCCCACTCTCTTTCCCTCTCTCTGTCGCTCATTTATTTTTTAATTGTACATACAATGGTCTCACTGGAGAAACGCCTGAGTTGGACCAAGTGAATTGGAAACGATCCCATAGCAATCATGTTAATTTTTAAACCCATAAAGTCAGTGTGGGTACGTATAAACCAATCTATAAACTATGCAGAGTATATTTTGATGTAGTGTGCCACTATATGGTGGCCACTTTTAAGACATTGTGGTGGAGGCACCTTACAAAGGCACAAATATTCTCACAAAAAGTAAAAAGAAGCAACAAGTGTGTGGTACCCTTATGTAAATGAAGGATGACCTTGTGAAGTGGATGTGCACCATTGATGGATACTAGACTGGAGGTAAATTTCAGGTTGGAATAAGAATATCTTTGTTGTGGCAAATCTATTACCATAGGCTGAATGAATGGCCACAAACTAGAGACCAAAATTACAAGAAAACCCATCATGGTACAATCTAGCTTTATTCATATGCTCTTTTTTCTTTTCTTTGAACATTATCTTGATCCGTATGCTCTTGGTAATGGTGAAAATGTTCAGAAATCGCCCTTGGGTTCGATTAGTTACTTTCCGATGATTATGTCGCGAGTTCGAGTCCGGCTAACTACCCAAAAATATGAAATGTAAATAAAACAATGAAAATTGCCAAATTTGTCTGATAGATCATGCATCCTTATACAACACTTGGCATTCCAATATACTGTTTGGAATAACTCAAACCACTCCCCAAACTACAAAAAAATAGACCATGGCATGCTGGAATATACTGTTTGGAATAACTAGGGCCACTCCCCAAACTACAAAAAAATCGACCAAGGTTGCAGTCAAATGAACAAAATGTTCATGTTTTTCTTGTATTTCTACTGCTCTATTCAGCACGATAATACTAAGCTCGAAACTGTTGTGTTCATTACAATCCTAAATTCCTAATTCACGGTATGAATTATGTTCTCAATCGTATTGCATTCGTAGAAGAAACTTTTTCCAAAGCGCCAAATATTCATGACTCTTCACTTGGAATTTATGCCCAATATGCTGAAAGCTTCTTACACAATTTGAAGTTCTACTACTGTTTAATTCTATTGTTATTGCTTTGCTAAAACAACATCAAATGGTTGAGCTCACTCGATCGAGCCCTCTTGCAAAACTATAGATGTATGTAGTGGAACCCAGATACGAGACAAAATACATCAAAATGCACGTGTGCGTATGAGTGAAAATAAAAAAACAATAATAAATATATACTGAGATTAAATTTACGTAGTTCACCTTTTCAAGATACGACCACAGGAAAAAGAGATCAAATCCACTAATAAAAATAATAGTTACAATTTTTTTTTCAAAAAACAAACTCTCTTAAATTCTCTTACTTCTTCTTGACTCTCTCTCTCTCTATGTTTGCACTTCTATGAGGTTCATCTCTCTTTCAAAGGTTTTTCTTTTTTTTCTCTTAGTTTCTCTCTCCTAATTTTTCTCTATCTAAGAGGAACTAAAACCCACAAGAGCTCTTCTCTTTCTCTTTCTAACAAGTTTCTCTCTCTCCTTCTTCTTCTTTCTAAAAGGAGGGATCACTTTCTCTTAAAGTATATTGCATCTAAGAGGCTTCACTCTCTTCTTCTTTTTCTAAAGAACGCTTATTTTTCTCAGTTTACTGTGACAGGGAGAGAGACACACTAAGCAAAAAGAACACCAATGAGAGGAACTCACAAGATGAGGCATGCCACACTAACTTCATCCCATCTCACAAATAAATGGTCTTATTGTATTACATTTTCTTTTCTAAAAGCTGAACAACATTTAGCCTGGGATTCATTCAAGTGATACTTCTACCATCACAATAGTAATTGTGTCCCAAGTTAATCTTTGCATTTGATAATTTGGATGGGATGCAACTGTAAGGAGCCTTCTTTTGCTTGGTAAAAAGGCAAGGGATACATGCCTGCCTTAGTTGAAATGTGAAGACAATCCATCCCATCCATTGTTGTTGTTTAGATTTAACATTTAACAGCAGTTACTTATCAGTACGGCGATTTCATAATGTTCGTCTGTTTTTTAGTGTTATTGCTATTCATGTTCAATGAAAACTGCAAAGAAGCTCTGTGTTTCAAGAAAGCATAAGGAACAGTGCATTGAATATGCTATACTTGCAAAAGAGACGAGGATTCAAGTATCACTTGTAGTACAAATACTGTCCTCAGATCAATTAAAAGCATGGCATCAGTTTTAACCTCTTCCCCAAAATGCAAGGCAGATAGCGGCCTAACCCCTCTCTCTCTCTCTCTCTCTCTCTCTGCAACCCACAAATGGCATTTACTTGATAAGCCACACATGCACACAGTGAAGGTCCCCTGATCACAGTAATGTAATGTAACTAAAAGAGTTTAAGATATTCAATTTTGGAAAGCCAAAGGCACTTGCTTCCAATGGGAAAAATAGTTTACCCCAAATAGGTTGCCAAATTATCAGATAATCAGTTCCCCTGCTTTATTAGGGATAATGAACCAATAGCGAGGCACAAGGACCAAGTAAAAAACACTTAAATAAGTGAGAGACATGACAAACTCAAAACACGTCCAAAAATTTCAAATCAGAGGAAAAAAATAATAATAATGAATTCATTCTTGAGTAATTGTCGTATTCATGTTTCTTCAAAGCTCCTCAAACTGGAAAAAAGGCAAGAAGAGGAAAGATAAATCCTCATTTATGTGGAGGAAAAAAGGAACTCCAGGAGCTGATGGACTTGAGAATCAGAAAACATTTTCAGTGATGGCCCTTAGCTTCTGCCTTCGTTTGTGACTTAGATTTTGACTGAAAATCAAAACGTAAAACCAATCAATAAACCATTATCCAGAAAAACCAAAACAAGACCAGGTTGCATTTTATGAAAATTGATTCAACAGCATGACAGTAGCTATGTTATTGAGAAAATAAACAAAGGATAATACCCAAAAAAGTAAACAGATGTACAAACATGTATGTATAAGCTAGCTACTGCCATGTGCTTCTCATTAATATGCACTAATAAAATTTGTTGAGAGACAAATGAACAAAAAAACACGCAAATTTACAGAAAAAGATCAGAGACAACAATATTTGAAATGTCATCATGAATCCATTCTAGAAGAAAAGCTTTGCTTGTTCCCCAACAGGAGAGAGGGTGGTTTGAGTATGAAGACTTGACAAGAATGGTAGCCATTTTGTGGGTGAGTGGGATGATTAGCCTTGCAATTCACAAGAAACTGAAAACAAGAAAGCAGCAGAAATATGTTATAGGAGAGGTTATCCAATTTTATGGGAATTCAAGCTTTTGATTTTGTTAGAGGTGTATGGGAGTGGACAGCTATTTAAAAGTTAGATCTTACGGAAGAAACATGTCTGGAAATTAAGTATTTATACGAGGAAAGGAATCTCATCAAAGTCAGTCCTAATTTTTAGAACATTTATACAGGGCAAGGATTTGGATGGCCCAAGGGCATACACTGTAGAAACAGGATGAGGGGTAAAACACCTAAATAAAGGGGTTTGTTTAACACCAACTCTCAAATCATCTTTAGTCATCTCTAAGATCAATCTGAAAAATCTAAGAAAATGATTTGGAGCTAAGGAAATGTTTCAAATCAAACCCCACTCCAAAAATGACTCTCCGACAATGATCTAGAATTCATGGAACCCAAAATCATTTTTATTTTTTATTTTTGGAAATTTATCACAAAGTGAAGGATTAATGTTGAAACATTTCAGATCCTAAACACCCACTACTCCACCCCCTTCCCACCCAAAATTTCTACTGTATTGGCTATTGGGCTTAGAAAATTTGTTTCCACATATGTATTGATGTGCCTATTTGATTGCATGCGAGAACATATAGAGCTAAAGAAATTTATAAGAACAAATTTCTACGATGTTAGTTCAAAACCCCAAAACTCCTAAGAGAACCCATCCAGGAGGATTCGTTTGACCTCAAATTTTGTAGCTGACCCATATATTGTCAATATTAGGTTCTCCAGTTTAAGGGGCAAAAAATATGTTAGATTGAGGAATTGGGGGGGTTTTGACCACAAATTTTGCTGAAGTAATGAGCATCATCACCAGATGTATTTTTTTACCTCAAAATGGAAGGTCAGGATCACAAAATTTTCTCTCCCCTAAAAATATATTTTCTATATTTTTTTTGTTTTCCTTCTTTTTTGTGTGTGTTTTGATGAGATTGTTCATCGGGTTCTGTGAGTGAAAATGCAAAACTTGGGGTCAAAGAAATCGACAAGATAAATTTTTTTAAGAGCTTTTAGGTGGGGAGTTAAATCTTGTAGAAATTAGCTCATTCCTATATGTGTGTGTGTGTGTGTGCACGTGGGCGCATGTGTGTGCATGTGTGCCTCTGTGTGGGGAAAAATGTTAGGTTAGAAGCCAGCTGCCACATCTATCTCATGAATCCTAAAGATGTCAACCTTATACTATAGAAGCAGGGTGCACCTTAAAAAACCAACTAGAAAAGCGTGTTTGAACATTTGAAAACCCATCTTGACTTCGAGATGTACAGATATGAGAAAGAAAGGATTTCAAAACATAATAGTGCATCTTGTAGCTTATCCAGATCGCCTATTTTTAAAATTACCAAGTGCTTATATGCTCGATCTGCACCAGGTTTGGAGCTTTAAATTTCATATTTAGCAGTTAAAATAGAATTTTAGGCTACGATGTGGCTTAGAGGTGTGCCTAACTTTGATTTTAAGGGTGAGACGCTATATAAACCACACACACACACACACACACATACACACTTCTATGATTGCACATCAATGCAAAATCTATAGTTCATTTATAGTCAAAGGTATAACTATTCTTCATAGTTGAATAGTATGGAAACTCCCTTATAAGGCCAACATAATACACAAATGATTCATGCTTTAATATTGATTTCTGAAGAAGTAATTTCATAGATTATGAATCACAAGGGGTTGATCTAATAGCATAAAGCCCTCATTTATTCAACTTCTGCAGATTAATGTGCTGACAATTAATACACATTCCCGTAAATTAGAGCTATAGCTTTGTCCGCTTTCTCAAGGAAGCAAATCTGATCAAGTATTTTAACTTCTATCTTTCAGAAGTATAATAATTATGAACCCCATATACAACTCTAACTTCAATCAAGTGTATTGGCCCTATCCAATACTGGTCTAAATGTTGATGGCCCATCAACCGAAATTGGAGGACATAGTGAAAACCTTTTCTTTGTCAACAATCTCAGACATTTATTGAAGATGAGAATTGTTCAAATCATGCGCAGAGCAATTATTCCCATTCTAAATTTGAATCCTTCTAGAAAATGTTGGTGAGTGATAGTTTGACATACTAGACTTCTAAGTTTGATATATTCATTGCAAAATTTCTTTTATTTTCTTGTATGGAGAACCCCAAATTACTACTAGTATTACTTTCCTCTTCTTCTTCATCGTCATGATCTTCTTTTTCCTCTTCTTCTTCTTTTTTATTATTATGGGATTGTCGACAAAGAGACCTTTTATCTTTTGTACATGGAGGTCACAATCATTCTTGTCCTTTAAATTTCAAAATGGGTGGTTGTAAGAGTGTCATTGGATAAACATAAAATTAAAAAAAAAGCTGACTCCGTGACTCACCCCAAGCCATCCAATTTGACATCTAATGAGTGAGAATGATTGTGGCCTCCATGTACAAACGATAAATGGTCTCTTTGTAGACAATCCCTATTATTATAACGTTATGTTTTTCTTATTATGATGAGCATTAGAAATATTGGTGCTATGATCAGTCTATGATCACACTCTCATCTCCCACCATATAAACTTCCAAAAAACTTTCCAATCTTCAGACACCCTATACTCCAAAAACACCAACCCAAGCCTCCCATACGTCCTTTGCCTGACTTCTCTTGGGAATAGGGAATAACTCTGAATCTTTCACTTGTTCCATCAGTTGTAATGCAGCTGCAGAAGACATGACTCAAGAAACAAAATCCAGGTTGGTGCCAAATCATCCATGTATGTCACCACTTATATGTCCTTCCCTCCCCCCCTCATTGTCCTCTCTGTTTTTTGTTCTGGAATGTTAACTTGGGACCTGATAGGAATAAGACTCTAGATATCATGGCGTGGCACTGACCACCCTGACCACCATTGCCTGAGTCCATTCCCGTCTCAACAACTTATATATTCCTCTTCTTGATTAGCATGCCATACTGTGCCCACCCAGCAAGTCACAGTTGCTCGTTCAAACTAGCTACTCAAGTTCACCACAAATTGCTGAATGCAAATTTACTAACCCCATCTCATAATCTGGACAAATGATAGAGAGCACATTGTAAAAGGATTGCTCACGAAAAAAGTGAAGGGAAAAAGGACATGAACTGGAATTGTGTTTATCTAAAAAGGCACAAAATATCCACCGTTGGCTACCATTAGATATAAAGGACCAAATTCATACCAGAGGCTCTTTTTTTTTTTTTTGGTGCTCAAGGTCTTCTCAATAATGCAAACCGAAACATTTGAGTCTAAGTTGAGATTTTGCTGTATGTCACCATATCTTCATGAAATGGATGTTAATGACAACTAGTTCATGGTGATCTCAAAAAAGAATAGATACTCCTACCTTTTCCTTTCCACTTTAACAATTGGATACTACATATCACTCAAAAATTTTCTTTGTATCATTTTATTTTATTTAAATGTCAACTAAGGACTTGGCTGAGCCCATTCCCATCACTCATAATTTGTTCCAGTGACACATTCTGCAGATTATCACATGCTTGGTTAGATGAACATAGATCATCTGGAAATCGAAGATGAAAATCTTCTTTACTACAAGGACTTGTATATAGCTATTGAGGGGGCAGAACATAAGCTTGAAGGTAATTCAGATGAAGAGTGGAAAAGGCTGGATAGAAAAGCAATTGGGACTATTTGACAATGGTTGGGTGAAGTTGATTTCCACCACGTGAGACATTGGACAAGTCATTGCAGAAGAAGTTACATGATATGTATGGGAGAAAATTTGTCAGACAATGAATTTTTGATACCAAAGTTGGTGAATTTCAGGTTTAGGGATGGAGGATCCATCACAGAGCATTTAATGTGATGTAAAGCACTGTCAACTAGATGATGAGCTACAAGCAATGTTGTTGCTTAATTCAGCCTCGGATGGCTAGGAGATTTTTGGGGATCTCCTTAAGTGACTTAGCTCTAGAAGGGAAAGTGACCATGATTCAGATCACAAATAGCTTGCTGAATAAAGATCCTTTGACTCATCCACCTCACAAGCTCTTGTTACAGATTAAGGAGGGTCCAAGAATCAAGACCAAAGTAACCGACCTCAGTAAAAAGAAAGATTGAAGTCCAGGAAGGGGATTACATGCTTTCATTGTAGCAAGAATGGGAACATGACGAAAGAGTGCTAAAAACTCAAAAGGGAATAGAAAGAGGACAATGACAAGAATGGTGGCAAGGAAAACCCTGCAGTAGTTGTTGAAAGTGATGCTGGCATGTTGGAGTGGTCGGCAACTGCGGTGACGATTCCATAAGTGTTGGATCGACCTCACGCAACTCTAATTGGGTTGTAGATACTGAAGAACCACATTCTTCCTAGCATCAAGAATAATCTTTGACCACATGCGACAAGCAAGCTCTTCAAGTGCCTCCGTTCAAATATTTGGGAAAGTATACCTCAAATGCTTTCAAAAGCTACTATGTTAAGCACGACATAAGGCACAAGAAGATAGTTTCATGCACTCTTAGCATAATGGTGTAGGAGAAAGAATGAATCCCACAAAT